CCCCAAAACCCCAAGACCCCAAAACCCCAAAACCCCAAAAGGGAAAATTTAAAAATTTAAAAATGCAATCGATAATAAAATTAAAGGAATAGATAAAAATGAGGCATTATACCTAATCATAAATGATCTTCATTGTGATTCTTATACAGCTCATAAGTCTCGGATTATTATTAGAGCCTGTGCAGATTTTTGGAAGCAAAGGAAAACCATTAGAATTCATATAATGTTTGAACAAGTAATCTGATTCCACAACTACAAGCCTTTTGATTACCTAAGACAACTAACTAATGACATTTATCTCAAAGTTTGAAAAGCCAATCCACTAAATTTAGCTTGAAAAAATAGTAAAAATTCATAAGAACTCTGATGGTTCAATTCTTTTACTTGAGTTAAGCGACCATAAGATCCAGGTCATATTAAATTGCAATTTAAGTGAGTTTGGAGATGCATCTTATACAAAAAATGATTACAAATTTTTGGATTATAAGTTTTTACCCATCCATTATTAGTAGCAGTAAATGCAAACAGATCTTATTGGCCTGCTAAACATTTTAAACAACACTACTAATGCATCTCCAAGTAAGTATGTGTTGGCACATAAATATTAAGATGAAATTTGCTACAAAGATCCCACAGAAGGAGATTGCAGACAGAATTTATATATCAGTCATGAAATCTAGAAGTTTGAATGGTGGATGCTAGCTAAATTCGTAACTAAATACGACTTTTTCAAGGAGTAAAAGGATGTAGGAGTACTGGTGATTAGTAAGTCAGGAATATAGAAATCTCAGCAGTTGAATTACTATTATAATCTTGATGGGAAGTTTAAGAGTTAAAGACTTACTAACTTCGTAGAAGATTATTAGATAGTCAATGAACAGTTTATCTACGTAATTAAGAGTTAGATGAATCAGCAGAAGTTATTTGTTGTAAAATACGATATTGATAACATCTTTGGAAACCCAGTGTCTGTAAGATTTAACAAGCATGGAGCTTTTTCCAAGAATCTAAATTATAAGTTTATTTCCAACTCAGTTGGGGCAAACAAGAATTCTTAATTCACTTGTGTAGTTTCGACAAAATACGGAGACTAAGGTCTTAAGAATACAGTCTCATCAAAAAAGTTCCTCTATCAATCAGATCATAGGGGAGCTGAGTTTTCCTTGCTTCTCGACGATATCAATATGATTGAAGATAAAATAGTTGATCTTTCTAAACTAGAATCAATGGATTTCGTAATGATAGCTAACACTCATAAATCTCAAGCAGCAATTGAGAACAACGAAGCTGATACTTTAGATCTTGAGGACGACACATTGGTGAGTGTAGATCTTGATGAGGACGAAGTAGAGATGTTCAAGACTACTATAAGCTATAATAATGGAGCACAGTGGCATAAAATCTCTAACATCTTTGAAAATAAAGCAATTCATTATAGGTGCTAAGATAATGACTGTAATGTTAATTTGATCCTTCACAAGCATCCAAGCACCCTGAACATTCCTCAGGTAAAGTCACATTTCCACAGCAATGGTGTTATCATGGCTAATGGCTTCTTCGGAGGTTTCGACTTTGAGAATGTCAAGACTTTGGTCTCAAGTGATGGAGGTCTATCTTGGACTATTATCTCGAATTAGCCTTCACACTTTCTTATTCTTGATAAGGTTGGCGTATTAGCACTATGTTCATTTCAGAAACTGACATCCACAATATCTTATTCATTGGATTTTCAAACTTCCAAGCAGTTTAAATTCACAGACTCCTTACTAATCATAGAAAACATAATACAAGATAAGCAGAATCCCTTTAAACTGATAGTGTTTACAAAGATACCTAAGAATAAAGAATTAAACAGAAGTAACTCTTCTTACTAGCTATTTGAAATCAATCTAAATGAAATCCTAGCTAATGAGAGACCATGCGATCAGAATAGTGACTACGAGATGTTCCATCCTCATGATATAAACTAGTTTCACACTTAGTGCTATATGGGAGCCAAGTATTCTTATTTCCGCAAAAAGACTGCCTCTAATTGCTACATAAAAGATGTGGATCAATCCCCCTTAGAGCTTTAAACTCTGATTAATAATCGCAAAGTCACTCCTTGTGAGTGCTCTGACGCAGACTATGAATGCGATGAAGGCTTTCAAAGAGCAGATGATGAGTCAGAGATCTGCATCCCTTTGGAAAAGAGCGAGACTGAAAGGCACAAAGCAGAAAAAGAATGCGCTCTCGGTAACTTTTACTATCAAAGATCAGGCTATCGTAAAATTCCAGGAAATCTGTGCTAAAACGGCTTGCATTTGGATAGAGATATTTAAGTGCAGTGTGTTGATGCTCTCAAAGACTACACACTGCGGTATTTACTAATGCTTTTGGGCTTAAGTACAATTTATTATGTCTGCTATTTAACATTTTGGTTCTATCAGACTTAGAATGTAGAGTAGCAAGTCCTTAACAGGCTGAAGAAGAAATAACCCCCTATTAAACGAGAAACTAACAATAAAGAGGAAGATAAAAATTCTTTAATTAATTGAAGATTCCCTCGCTTTTATTTTGATTTGATGGGGTTTTGGGGTTTTGGGGTTTTGGGGTTTTGGGG